CGTTCGGGAATGCAAGTAGCTTTTACATCCCTTCTGTTAGATCAGTTATTGTGCAGATGCGCGGTTCTCTCCTTCTCCTATGGGAACCTGTTCATTATACTTAGTTGTGCATGCAAAATGGCTAGTTATGAAGTCTAGTTGAACAGTACCATGATACCTGTTATGGTGCGGGGCTGTGGGTGGTCCTTCACAGCTTTTCTCATATTTAAGCAACGTGTTCGAGAACAACCTTGCTCAACTACAGTTTTACCCCTGATGTATTGGCCACCTATTTGGGAGTGTGAATTTAAAATCCTCTGCTTACACTCTGTAATGGATTAAGTGCTTTATCCATTGTCAGTACATAGAAATGAATTGAACTGTCAGTATGGTAGGTTGATTTGAGGACTACACGGCAACTCTGGAGGCTCAGATTTGGATCTCCACTCATCTGGGTGACATTAAACAAGTCACAGCCTCAGAAGAAAACAAAAGCCACAAGTCTTGCCAAGAAAACTCAGTGGTGGCCCCTCGGCTATGGAATGCCTTGCCGGCAGACATCAGACAGGCACCTTCGTTGCTGACGTTTCGGAGAATGGTTAAGACCTGGCTTTATGAGCAAGCGTTTGGCTAAGCAATGCAACCAATCAAGGAAGACGGTAAATGGAACATAGGAACGGCACATGGACTATGAGAACGGATCTGATTTCAACTGAGGCGTTATATATGTTGTTTTGTTGATTTGTCCTGTCTGATTGTTAATTGTTGTGGATCGATGTGTTGATCCTGTTGTTGCATTGTTATGTTTTAATTGCACTGTAAACCGCATTGAGTCGCCTGTTAAGGGCTGAAAAATGCGGTATAAAAATGAAGCAAATAAATAAATAAATAAATAAATAAATTACAAGGTTATATGTGGACATACTATTATAGGACCAAAGAATAGAAAAGCAATGCCATTGCTTGAATTAAGAGAAGTGCAATATCAAAGGTACTCATTCCAGTTTGTATTCGATATCTATCATAGCATGACTACCATGGAATAAGAACTTTGTGCAATAAAGCTGTTGCACACCAGCCAGAGTTCAGCTTGCCCTCATCACCAACCAGGAATCCAAAAGCAGTAGTGAAACAGTTTATTGAGAAAAATACATATAAAAAGGGAAATTCACCAAAAGAAATAAGAAAGGCAAAATCCAACAGGTAATAGGAAAAAAGTAGTCAGTAAGTAAAAGCCCATCCAAACTGGTTAGAAGTAGGACATTTCAAAGGCAATAGTCAAAATAATCCAAAAAGTACAGGAAAAACCTGATTCATAACACAAGCGCAAATCCAGAAAAACAAAAATCAAAACATGAGCATGAATCCAAAACCAAGGTTATAAGAACTTTTAAAACATTAATCAAAACTCCCAGGATCTTAGACTAAAACATGAACTGAAACAGGACTTAAGATCCTTACTGTTTTGTAGCATTGCCTGATCTGAATTCTCAAAGAGACAGTTCTCTGATTTCGGGACCACAAAACATGAAGTCATTTCTATGACCATGTGGGACTTTTTTCACTCTTTCTTCACATAGAGCCTTTTTGTTTTTCTGAGCTTGCTGGATTCCTCCCTAAGATCAAGTCTGATACACCTGTTGAACATAGGTGTCCCCTCTCGCAAGCTTTCTCACCCATCCATATCTTTGCTATGGTACTAGTAGGTGAAAGGTCTCACCAGACACTGCATCTCCCTGTCTGCTGGACTCCAAAACAGAATCACTTTCAAGCCTATTTTCACAGACAGAATCTGGCTCTAAAATCCTCTCATTTCCCTCATTGAAAGAACCATCTACCACTCTCCCAGGCTTTGAAATAGCAATCCCGTCATCTTTATCTGGCTGGGCCACAACAAAAGCCTTTAGTGTGAGTGAGTTCTAAAGCAAATCTGTTGTATCAAAATAAAATGAAGCTGCCTGTATAGCGTTAAAATCCCCCCAGGCTTGTTTATGAGTAATATTCTCTTGGGAACAATTTAAAAAAAAATACCTTTGGAAATTCCTACCTGTGATCATTAAGGCTAAGCTAAAAAGCTGAAGGTCAGTTTGCTCAACTGACAAAATGAAAATAGTGCAAAGTAAAGTCATATCAATGGGTCATTTAAAATACAGCTTATATGGGAACACAGAGCAGTGACTGAAATATTGCCTACTCTAAAATAATATAAGGAAGATCTGGACCTTTAAAGAAAAGCCTAAATGACAATTTTAAAAAGTGGAATTATTTTTAGAAACCCTGAACAACAATTGCTATTACCCCTGGATATTGTTATACTTAAAGCATTTAACAATACGACAAAGTATGCTCAAAAGCATTATATACATTTGTGGTACCGCAAATAGTGCATGTACAATATTCCCAGTTCCACCCTATGATATTCTAAGGAGAGGCCTGTGTTCAATCTTTTTTATTATTATTATTCCTATCACTTTTAGTTTGGACACTCTTCAATCTAGTAATGGATGTAGCAATGAAGCCTCAATGCTGTTAGTATTATGCAGTTCACAAGAATATGTTTAGATCTCATCTGATAAACCTTAGCAGCACTATGTGAATGTGTTTTGTGCCATTCTCATTAGAGTCAAGCAATGACATAAGGCACAGTAAAATTCAAAATATGTGGATGCAAATTTGTTAAGAACGACCTTGGTTTATTGTGAAACCATCCAAAGGAAACATATACCAAAAATACAGTATAGAAATATATTCAATATATTTAAGTGAATAAAATTGTAGTTTTTATCTCTCTCTAGACAAACTATATGAAAGCATTTACCTGTTTGTTCTCTCTCTCACCTTATTATACAAAGCATTGCGATGGTAAGGACTATAAGAATTGTTACAGACATCCCCAAAGGTGGAACCCAAATGGTTGAATGGTCCAGGAGTTAGAGAGTCAGCAAATGAGAAAGTCTGAAGATGTAATGGGGATTTAGTAGGTGGGTTCAGTTTAGTATGGAGAAAAGGATGGGAAAGAGATGAATCCTGAAAGAAAAGGAAGGAAACAAAGAGCCTGGTTAAGAGACAGCAAAAGATGTTCTGACAGGAAGCCCAATATTCTTGATAAGAATCAGAATAGAATCATGGAATCATAGAGTTGGAAGAGACCTTGTGGGCCATCCAGTCCAGCCTCCTGCCAAGAAGCAGGAAAATCACATTCAAAGTACCCCCAACAGATGACCACCCAGCCTCTGTTTAAAAGCTTCCAAAGAAGGAGCCTCTACCACACTCTGGGGCAGAGAGTTCCACTGCACTTCATTAGCACTTGACTTGTTATTTCAGTATATCTTTTTTGCTTGCATTAATGTGATTGCTGTAATAGGTAACAGATACACAGTTTAATATGATCTGAAAGGATTCCTTTTTTTAATACCTGAAAAGGTAGATATTATGTTCTAGACCCCATTCTTCATGAAGTTGGGTTGTTGTAGGTTTTTCGGGCTATATGGCCATGGTCTAGAGGCATTAGACCATGGCCATATAGCCCAAAAAAACCTACAATAACCCAGTGATTTCGGCCATGAAAGCCTTCGACAATACTGAAGTTATTTGGATTAGTCAGGAGAATTAGTATCAGCAGGACCAGAAGTAGATCATGAATGTCTCACTGTTTAGTTAGTGTTTGGTTTTCAAGGAACGACTACAATACTTTTCTGCCTGAAATGGAACAGCAAATGGTGCCCTTCACCGCTAGGGTCAAGGCACAGGACACCAAAACTACCTGGCATGAAAACAGTATTATCAAGGTAAATAATTAGTGATTTGCCAGCTTCTTGTGACATTCAGATCTGAATAGTGCAATGTTCAATGAGCAATAACAGAATGGTGTCCTGAAATTGTTTTTAAGCAACTGATTTTAAAGTGGATATAAGTGATTTTAATGTTTGTATATATTTATGATTTTATGTCCCGGCATTGAATGTTTGCCATATATATGTTGTGCTCCATCCTGAGTCTCCTGTGGGGTGAGAAGGGCAGAATATAAATGTTTTAAATAAATAAATTCAAAACCTGACTAGAATCACTGTTTCTTTTTTCCAGTTCAGATCTGACAAGTACTATCCATACATTGTATACAGATGGCTAAACAATTAACACTGCACCAAAATGTCTGAAAGCCAATTGAGTTGACACCTTGGTCAACCCATGCTCCTTTTAGTCTAATGGTTTTGGAAATTACTTAGGATTCCTTATACCCTACCTAACACTGTACTAACATTGTGGCTATTTTACTAGACTGAATGAAGTTTGTATCTGATGGAACTTGGTTCCTCCTTTGCCCCACTCTTCTTCCTTTTCCTTTTGGGGAATGGAGATGCTCTTCTGTTGCCTGATCTCTCCTAGTGGCTGATCTTCGGTAGCAGGGCAATTGATCTCATACAAAGAGACAACCCTGCATAAGGAATGAGATCTCAGTGATGAACCAGAAAATAGTAGTTATGCTAGCATAAAACCAATTCAGCCAAACATAAAAAGCTTCTGTAGATTTCTAGCAATTCCTACAACTCCCACCAAAGAGTTGGGTTTCCATTAGCCTCGTGCAATAACAGAACATTAGCTGTTTATTCAATGGAAGGAAGCATGTAAAATTCTGAGGTAGACAGCAGTCAGGGTGCAAAAGAAGGTTTTTCACTCTGTTTAATGAAGGACTCCTTTTATTCTTGATCTCTGCTCCAAATTGGTTCCATGACACCCCTTCCCCTTCCCCTACCATGATATCAAAATCCTTGGATGCTCAATCCCACTATATAAAATGGCATAGTGAAATTATGTCTCTTATATAAAATGGAAAAATCTAGATTTCCTTTTTGTAATTTCCTTTTTTAATATTTTAAGGCTGTGGACGATGGAATTTGTGGATGCACTATCTGGATACAGAGAGCTGGCTGTACTCAATTTCATCAATGGCTGCAACAAAAAAGAAAATCTTGTGGGCTGTTACTGAAATAGGACAAAAGGGAAAAGAAACTTTACTTGTTCCGTTTGGAGATCAGTGGTTTCTTCTAAGTACTTTTTGAATGGATTTGGCTGGACAGGTTCCTCTTCTTTTACTATTATTTTTGCTTTCACCATTGTTGGGCGGATGACACCAGGTTTTGTCTAATGATAAAAAAGAGTGGAAATTTTGTTCACTTTCTGTAAAATAAATCTCATCAAAAGCTATGCAAAAGTTGGTTTTACTCATAGAATTTTTTATGTACTCTTAAATATTATGTGCAGATACATTTGTGTCTTTCATTGAATCTCTCTCCATATTCAGGAAAAGGACTGTTATGTGTGCATTCCTCCATCCTGTTGTAAATGTTAGCTTTATTTTCAGACATATTCATCCACCCTTGATTCACAATTTTTCAGCCCATGACCTGGTAAGCACCCAGCTGTCTACAGGGATCGCTATAGCTGTGGCAGTCAGAAGAACTTCAGAGTGAAGTCAGAGTTTGGTAAAGGTACAATACTAAGTTAGATTAAATCGATGAGCATATCTAATTTTCATTTGGTAAAGCTTTCTACCAAATGTATGCTGAAAAGCGGTTTTCTGATGGTGGTACAAAAAGGAGTAAGCCTTATTCTTTGTCTAAATTTAAGGTCTTGTAACATCTATTGATTTTGCCTCAATTTGTACCAAATACAGTACAGAGTTTGGAACTGTGTTGACATGCAAACATATTAATGGTCTCATATATGCTTTTAGAATATCTAAAATGACATCTCTGCTGGCCTCTTAATCTGGGACCAGTTGGAATTGACCATAATAGTGCCCACATGCACCAGGATGAATCCTCAGTTTCAGTGTCCAGGTGGACCAGTTGGACCAGCTGGAGTAGCAGTAATGACATAAGAATTGCATCAACCCTGTTGGCCCATACTGTTGTCCTTGTGTCAACGCCATTCTGTGCTGTCCTTCACAGTTATGTGTTGTCGAAGGCTTTCATGGCCAGAATCACTGGGCTTCTGTGATTTTTCCAGGCCATATGGCCATGTTCCAGAAGCATTTTCTCCTGACGTCAGGAGAGAATGCTTCTGGAACATGGCCATATAGCCCAGAAAAATAACATTAACCCAGCTTCATAGTTGTTTGCTGAGATCACAATGGAGCACCCATGTGATCAATGAGAGGGTAGAGAGGCCTTCTTCTTCTTATTGATTGTGCTGGTGTCCCATTATGTCTTCAGCAAATGCAACTATGATGGCCAAGCTCTTGCAGATAGTTCCTTGGCTGACAAAGATCAGTGGAAGGCATCCAACTACCGCTTATCCCCTTGCCTGCACTGACTAGTGCAAGGGAAGGCTGATGGTGGTGATATAATGGAACAGGCTGAATGGTACCCAATCCAGCTGCCAATCACTTTGGAATATCTTCCTACTTTACTTATTGTGGAACAACATCGGATTAAGGGCTGAAACTGGGAGTCATTATGCATTTTAAAGACTACCAGCACCAACTTTGTGGTATTTTAAAATTCATGTACATAGCCCAAACCATTATTTATTATTTATTGTTTTGAATTTATTAAGCTTATTTTATTAACTGGAACACTTTTTTGGTTATTAAATAAAACACCATTTGAGTGGCGGAATCTATGTATGAGTTTCCCATAACAGTATCGGTTGTATACAGAAAGAGACACAATAAGATGGCAGGAGAACATGAATGTTTCCATAATGATAACAATAAACTTTAATAAACTTTATTTATATTCCACCCTCTCTCCTTGCGGGGACTCGGGGCAGATCAAGGAGACTCAGAGTGGAAAATAACACTTTTTCTGTCATATTTCACTGGGAAAACATACAAAAGACATTTTGTATTGTGCAAAACTCTTCAATTATAAAAGAAAAGAAGTCATGAACATCACAACAACTGAGAGCAACAAAGCTCCCTTTCCAAGTATATGAAGACTAAGATGTAATTATTGTGGGTGAAAAAGACAAATCCTTTGCCTCCTTTTGTCAAATAAACTATTCTTCTCTACAATAGCCGAAGGGGAGAAAGTAATTAATTTATTTCCTGTTGTATTTATAAAGCAACAAATTCCACAAAGCTTTGTTTATTGAGAAAAATTCTATTTTATTTATACACTGGAAAGAGAAACCATAAAAAGTGGGCTTCCCTTTGGCCTTCTATAGAAATTGAGGTGATCTTCAATGTATTTTTCACATATTAACTTGACGTAAAATAAACATGAAGCTGACGTCAATACCTTTACTCGGGAAAATCAAATCAATACATTGCCAGTCTTCTTTACTTCTTTTGTTCTGTTTCCTTCCCCTTCCCAATTCTATCCCATTTCTTCCATTACAGGACTCTTGATGGTCTGAGCTGAATTTTTTTTCTCAGATCCCATTGTGTTTTCAGCCGATCCATTTATGCTCCAAGTTGGAAAAAATCTCTTAGAGGCTGATTACATGAAACACACTAATAACTTCAAATCATATTTTCATAATGTTAGACTAAGGATAAATCTGGAAAAGGAGGCCTTCTTCTGTGTGGGAGTGCTCTTCATGTCAACAGAAATCTTTAGAAATCAGAGTGCTCAAATATGTGAGGAGCATCCACATGTAGGAGAAGTCCTTTGGCTGACACGTGTGACTCTCCATCTCTGGAGAACAATGAAAATAGAGATAGAAGGAAGCCCCATGCACTGTTACCTTGTACATTACATGGTTTTAGGATAGTTATGGTTGGCCCAGATTGCCAAATAGCTGTTCTCCTTGCATAGTGTAATTCAAAGTACAGATATCCAGAAACTGGCGGAATGGAATGGACTCTTTAGTACTGCCTGAGTATTGCCATCACCATCACAGGCTCCTTTGGGGTGAATCCACCCTGCACAATTATAGGAGCCTGATACCACTTCAAATCTTATTGCTTCAGTCTAGAGAATCCTGGGATTTGTAGTTTGATGTATTAAGAATTCTGTGCAAGAGAACTCTAGTCTATTTCCCTGAACTACAGCATTGGGGGCTATACAGAGGACTATTGCACAAAGCTGCCATTCCACAGCATTCACAGGATCACCAATAACAGCTATATACCAGAATAAGCATCCACCTTACTGGACATCTCTGCATTGGCATAACAGTGCTGATTTGCAGATCCATTCTCCCTCATTCCTCATAACTTCATAAGCCTTTCCTCCTGCACTTCCATTTCTCCATAATATCTTTCTTTAATCACCGGTTTTCCAATACAAATATACAGTAAGGTTGGCATTTTCTGGGTTGTTTTTTTTAGCAATGACAGGAGATTATGGCTCTAAGACATTGTTTTCCCGAGTTATCATTTGTGTTGTGGAAAATCAGCTCCTCTGCATATTTGTATTGCATTTTTATCCAAATCACCTTGAGGTCATGGAAAGTGGATATACTCTATAAATGTTTTAAAGGAAAACATTATCCATCATCATCACCATTTGGATAGGAAATATAATAATATATTTATGGAATATACCTTCTGACTCTCAGTCACTATAGGCCCCGATAAGTAGAGGTTAGCCTGAAATAAAATATATACAATGTTAGAGAACTTAAAAACTTGGATACTTTTAGTCATGTTATAAGGAAGAAGGCTGTCAAAAATGTGTTTTTCATTATGTTTCTGGTTCTTGGGGGGCTTGGTGATTTATCTCTTCAAAAAGAAAGTATGAATAGGTTGGATTCACAATAAAAAATAACATAAAGGATTGAGCTTAAAAGAAGACATAAACAATATAACAGTTTTATAGAAGGGAGGAAGAAGCAAAAAGCAAAGTAAATGCAAATGAACACAATTAATTGCATGAAAAGTCAACTAGAGGGGCACAATCTGAGATTTGGTTGGCATGCCTACCTATGGTATGGAAAAGAGAAGGCTGACAAAGTTATTAGTAGGCATCCCATAAGAGTTAGCCTCTGGAAGCAGTGCTAAAACCAACATACAATGAGGAACTGAGAACTTGTAGAGAAAAAGGACAATGTAAACTAAAAGGGAGAGAAGAGTTAGAGATAAATGATTGATTTCATTATAATCAATTACAGGGTTTATTTAGGAAAGAAAATAAAATTGGGTTCATTAAAAAGAAATTGGAGTTGGAAAATATTTTGGAGAACAAAAACAAAGGATTGGTTTCCAGGTTATACAAATATATTCTAGAATATAATCTGGAAGACAATCAAATAAGAACAACGATTTCCTGGTCCAGAAACTTAGGGGGAAATATAGATTTGGATAATTGGGAATACTAATGGAAAAAAGGATTTACATTTTCAATGGCAGGTTCTATCAGAGAAAACATGTATAAAATGTTCTATAGAAGTTTTACAACTCCTGAATTAATGGCTAAAATTGATAAATTCCAAAGGGGGGAATGTTGGAGATGCAAAACACAGAAAGCCACCTTCTTCCACCATCAAGGTTTGGTGGACCTTGATGGTGGTGAAAAAGTTTTGGAAAAAGATGACTAAAGAAACCAACAAAATGATTACTAAGACGATTAAGAAAAACCCAGAAATGTGCTTATTGGGTTTGTTTCAGAAGGGAATTGGCAAAGACGATGTGGAAATTCGCCAATACAAAATCTTGGAAAGGGAAAAAAGAACAATTTATTAAGGACTGGAGAAGAAAAGCAGTAGAGTATATCCAAATAGACAAGATCTCCAATGGCACAAATGAAGAAAACAAAGAAGAATTTATTAGAAAATGGAGACTGGCCTCTGGGAATTTAAGAAAGAAGACAAAAATTGATTTTGAAATAACCAAATGGGGGATTTATTAGTGTAATGATAAGGACAGATTTTTGTTAGATACTAGTTCCATTTGGTGTGGTGTCGGAAGTCATGGGTGGTGGTTAACAGTGGGAATGGTGAGGTGGTGGAACAGGGAAACAATACTTGTATCTTGATTGTTGAATCTAGAAGTTTGTATGTTGTTGTTTTTTCCCTCATATATCACAAAAATATATATACAAAAAAACTATTCATGGAATCAATTTGACAACTGTTAAGGATATTTGAAAGGACTGGGGATGGAGGTTGTTGGTTGAGATGTACTTCCATGTTGGCTCTTGTCATGTCTTTCTTTGGGCAATCAAATGGTATACGTTCTGTGTCTCAAAAACAGAACAGATGCCACCTGGTGCAGTAAAGCTGGTGCCATTTTTGGACTCAGCAGCTCAAATATACCCAGAAACAGATCTAACATTTGAGGCACAAAAATATGTATTGGTCAATGACACCTCCTTACAGTAGCTTAAATTAGGCACAAGAAAATCTGTTCTAATGGCAATTATTTTGACCTAGGTCCTGCTAGGACATTTTGTATTTTGTTAAATGATAATACTTCTGCTTATCTGTTCCCCAGGGATGAATTTCTATCACCCACATTAGCAACGTTACCATAATTACAATGTGTAATGTGATTAGAATATGGCATTATTGTGGTTAGAAACTGGATATAAATATATTATAACTAGTGGTTAATTCTTAGTAGGGACAGAGATAGTGGAGCTCAAGTCTATCTGGAAATGCCAGAACTGGAATTCTTCTCTCAATCCCTACTATATGAGGACCAAACTACAATTGCTCAAAGAGGTAGGGAAAATATACTCTACACATGCTCAAAGATTTTCTATTCATGCCTTCAAAGGTGAACCTGTCTTATTGATAACAGATAAGGCTGAACTTAGGAACAAATAAGGGCCCAATTTTGATTATACTTACAAATCTGGTTTCCCGTCCAGCTGATCTCTGTGAAGGTGTAGATGACTGTAGACAAAGAGTAATCAACAGATGACTACTGTAGTAATAACACCATGTTTTAGGCAGTTCTAGAGGCACTGCTCAGAGATTTCATATTAGATTGAGACCCTTCTAAATATCCCCCCCCCCCGGCCAACACCAGGCATGTAGCCAGGGGGGGCTTGGGGGGCTTCAGCCTCCCCCCCCCCAAATTCTCATGGTGGTTCACGAAAAGGCCTTACTGTTGCATTATTTAAACTGTTATGCTTATTCATATCATGATCTGATCACCCTACTCAATATATCCCATATGCATGGGGGTATTGGGGTAACAATACAAAAGGTTTGCTAGGGTAGACCCTCTTTCACTTGAACTCACCCCCCCCCCCGAAACAAACTCAGTCCCGTCCCCCGTCCCGTCCCCCCCGAATCGAAATCCTGGCTACGGGCCTGGCCCACACACATACACAACTGTCAAACAGAAAGAAAAGTAATATACATTGTGACCATGAATGGCAAAAACTGGTCTTTTAGTGGAAATATGAACATGAATGTCACAGTTTGTCATTGCAAATTATCTATCTCAACTATAAGAGAGCCATGAATCTTAAACCAAAATGAATAAATACACACTCGAACACATTCACAAGTAACTGAAAGTATCTGTTATGCCACAGAGATCTGTAACACAGAGTCACCAAACTGGAATTATCACAAAGACAATGCACTAGGGAACCTATCTCCACAGAGAGAACATTATTTATTTATTTACTATATTTATATCATGCCTTTCTGGACCCCGAGGGGGACTCAAGGCGGCTGACAGCCGAGGCAATAATTCAATGCCTTAAAAACAATATACATCCCATATACAATTAAATAAGCATTTCAATTAAAATTTACACGAAATTAGAACCATTAAAACATATAAAACTTTGCGATTACAATTATAAAATCACATTATTGAAATTACGACTATAAAACATGTTCCTGAACTTATCATGGAAACAGGAAACCATTGATAATTATAAATTCTATTGAAATGAATGACTGCTGCTGGAAACAACCATAAAGTTGCCCCAGAAGACCTAGAAAATGCCGAGAATGATCCTCTCCAAGAACTGCTAGGTCTTCCAGTGCTATTCTGTGTTGACATGTGGTGAAAGCACATCACATAGAGGAGCTAGAAAATTTTTAGAGGCAGGTAGGCAAAACCACAGGAACTGGTCTCATGCATTAAGAATTATACTGTACTGTGGGTTTGAATCCCATCTATTAATTACTTTAGATGCTTCTTCGACAAACGACTCCACTTTGGGAATGTTCTGTGGTGGTTCTACATTGAACTTTTATCCTGGGTGATCTGGAGTGGCCAATGCCAGACTGGCCCCAAGATGACTGCTAGCCTCCCTGTCTGCTATGGAGGCAGGAAGAAGTCTTGCCTGTCCAGCAGCACTGAATGGCCACCTTACTGTCCCCCTCTCCTTCTCCTTATAACAGCAGTCAGTGGGCACAGCATGTTTAGTGCCCGTCACTTATTGCTTGTAGTTGTGTTCTCAGCTAAACCAAACCATGTGTCTGCATTTGAGTGTGCACACAAACACATGCATGTAGGTCTACATAGGATGTGTATGCATGTATTTTGCTTCAGTATATAAAAATAACAAAACACTACCATTAGGTTAAGAGGAGATAGTTTCATTGAACAGATAATTTCTGGTTCCACGAAAAGGCTATTTTTTTTTGTTTTCTTTTCTTTTTTTTCCTGACTCTAGGTTTAGATATCCTCAGATGTGAAATTCAAATATGAACCTACTGTGAGCAGAGAGTAAACAGGTCCAAGCATTGGTATTGCCTTGAGAGAACTTAATCTTGCCAAGAGGATGAGAGATATTTTGCATGCAGGTGAACCTGGGCACTGTTAAGAGGAAGAAGAATTAACCAAGCATATGAACCTATCAGGCTCATATTAAATTTCATATCTGAGAATTCCTGGTTGGTTTGTTTAAATTTATGCTTCTTTTAATCAAAAACAGCTATCAAACTTTCTGTTGGGAGCAGCAACATATGCTCTAAATATTCATAGAGAATACAATTCACTTACTCTGCTTAGATCTGAATCCCGTATGTTTTGCAGGGAGCTTGGAGAAGAATCACATCGGCGCTAAAAAGAGTGAATGGGAAAGTAGTCAGATACAGACAATGAAAAGGTGGCAAGAAAATGTTCAAAGAAGTAACTTCTGCTGCCTGCATACCATAGTCAAGGGATCCTGTAAGACTTGATCAATAGCGGCACACAGCTCTTCTGTTTGTTGCCTGAGCTGAGCAGGAGAACACATCTGCAGGTTTATTTAAATAGAGACATTTATGCTTCTGAGAGTCATACCAGGGATACAATTGAGTCTATTTATTCTACTGCTTTCACATATTGCATTGAATGTTTTTGGTATGCTGTGCCCCTTTTGCAATCTATAGCTCTTCTACAGGCAAGTACAAAAGGTAACATTGAACTGTCTTGCTAAATACAAATCAATGACAATGGCTTTCAATCCCCCCCCCCCAATCCTCGACTCATTCAAAATGTTTCTATGTGATTTCCACAAGCTATTTTTTAAAATCTTCTCCTCTTCACTGTGCTGTCTAGGTATTGATGTATTGTTGTTGTATTCAGGCATTGAATGTTTGCTTTTTACATTTGGAATCTGCCCTTTGGGGAGATAGAATGGAATATAAATAAGGTTTTATTATGATAGCTCTAAACACTACTTTGAGCCCACCCCACCCCCCAGGCATACTACACATCTTTTTTATTTTAAAGATACCTCCTCAATGCACCCTAAGTCTCATAGCAAACAAGGATATCAATATTTGGAAGCTTTGCAGAAGAACATAGCACAGTGATTTGTACTTGAGCACTGGAGCATATTTCATCATTCTACTTCAGTGGTTCCCAACTTGTGGTCCGTAGACCACTAGAGTGCCCCAAGAACTAAAATATGGTCCGTGAACTCACTGTCACTACACTGTTGCAACGAGAATGACTGGTCTCACGAAACCTTCTTATAGTACCAAGCCAATGGAGATGTTGGGAAGGGAGAGGTCGACTACCCACAAAAGGCACAACAACAAGCCTCCTGACTGCTGCTTCTCCTCCTCCTCCCTCTCTCTGAGCGGAGCCATTCCATGTGGCACCTGGAAGCAGAGGCGCCTGGGTGTCTTCATTTTTAGGCCTGTTCCTGGGGTTATTTGGGGTGCTGATTCAGAAAATTGCATTGGATACACTACATCAGCTCTAGATTATTAAATATGGTTTGCTGTGAAATAGCAGATGGCAACTACTGGATGGTATATGTTCTCTATCAGAAACTAGAGCTGATGTGATCTAGCCAATGCCATTTTCTGAATCAGCACCCCAAATAGCCAAACCAGATCTAAAGTTGACCAAAAACTGATTCATAACCTTTTTGGTACTAATGTTGGAGCGTGGTCCCTGGTCAAAGTGGTCCCTGGTCAAAAAAAAAATTGAGGACCACTGTTCCACTTCAACATGTTTGCACCAGTTTTTCAATCAGATTTTAAAAAATCCAAGGAGCTAGGCACATAGTTATATGCTCACGGATAGCTTGCTACAACCTACATATTATGGGAGGCATGGTGACAGGGAATCTCAAATATCCATTCACAATGGACATTTTCAAGTAGAGGACAACTACCAAAAATGAAAATGTGTCCAGAAATGAAGCTATTTTAACCATGTTGTTTTCAATGCATATACATCACTGTAGTCACCTCAGAATGTGTGTCCAGAGTTCTGTCCTCAATCACTCCTTCTCCTGTGGTTGGTTCATCAAGTGCCTGTAGATTAATATACATTGTTTCTGAGATCAAGGCTGAAAGTGAAACAGTGAGTAACCAGTCTACATATACAAGCTGATTTATTTGTTCATCTATTTGATTTCCATAATTTCTGTCTCACGTAACTGTCAACACAACAGGAAAGCAAACAAGAAAATGAGCTATCAGAATTTTTTTAAAAAAAACAACTTTTTGTTTGTTAAATATTAATTTATGAACCTCATCAAAACTTATTTATTATTTTTGTTGGAATAGTCGAATATTAACAGTGTGCACGTTGCGCCTGAATTTTCTCTTGATTGTTGAGCTTTACAGGTTCCCTTGTTATTGTAATCTAAAGTGTCTAATCAAGAGAAATCTTTCAGCTATAGTGCAAGAAATATGTAATGCTAGACCTCTGGTATAGTCTGTCCTATTCTCCGCTGCTTAACATTCTTCCACAGTAGTGAATGCTTTACATTGATTTCTATTGTAAATATAGCCCATCATTCTGAAAAGCAATTCTATAACCTAGGAATGAAAAAACATGAGTCTCTCCAAATGTCTTTGAATTGTTCCTCCTTTCAATACTATTCAACATTGCCATGATAAAAGGCATTGGGAGCTGCAAACCAACACCACAATCTATGGAAGGCCACATGTTCCTATACCTGTTCTAACCAATGCATCACAGCTTCAAAGCCTCTTCTTTTGAGAAAGCATGGAAGTAGTCAAAAGCCTATCTGAAATACTTTATATTTGCCCAGCCGTCAGCACATGTTTCTGGCATTCAAACACATTTTTCCTATTCTGCTCCAGGAGTTTTTTTTATATTCAGTCAGATCTGGCACCTCCTGTAATCACATTGAAGCCAGCGGCAATCCATTTCCATCTGATATTCGGGAAGACTTTCCAAAATAAATGTTGAACAATGCTAATTTCTGAATTTTTTCCTAAGCACTGGGATATGATTTCTGAGAAAAGAACTGACCTTCTGCTCCAGAAGCAGTGTGTTGGTGGGAATTGCTGCAAATGCCTTGTAGCTTGTCTTGATCTTGTCGAATTGTAAACAGTAATGAAAAGAAGGAATACAAAGCATCCAGAGAAGGAAGAGAAGGGCGAAAGAAAACACAAGATGTCATTGGTGGTAGTTCTTTAAAATCCGGACTGGAAATATGATAGCAACATTTGCATGACACATTGATACAAACAGCACAAATGCTTCTAGACTACAATATGCCTTCCATTCTGTTAAAATATAACATTTTTGCAGCCTACAATATTTAATTTGGCAACAAGATGCACATCTGCACAATTTCAGCAAATGAAATCCATGCCATTAAAGGTTACTTCTTCTGCCTTTAGTAAACAGTACTTTGAATAGATCAAGATGACTATCTTTTTATAAAGCAGAGGTGATAATCTTTATTTTGGGATTGTCTAGACATGACCTTTGTTCCAATACAATACAAATAAATTGGAGCTGGAAAGGAAAGGAGAATCAATATGTATCAGCAGCACACTGAGTCAACTTTAATTGTCATGGCTCCATCTGAAGGAGTCATACAAATCCCAGCAGGGGAAAATGGGTGGAATGGGGAGATGCAATGGGAATGAGCAGTCTCAGAAAGGATGAAACATGCAAACACACTGTCAAACAGACACATTGCTTCTTCTGGGGCCCACTCTTCAATTGCATATGCCTATGAACTTTGTTACCTGCATTAGTTTGTATTCATATCTTTAAACTTTCTTGAAGATCTATGCAAGAAGCTAGATTTTTTGCAAAAAAATAAAGAGGGGTTTTTCTTAATAGCAATTGCATTTAAGGAAATGTGCTTTAGAACCCTTCTACACAGCCATATAACCCAGAATATCAAGGGAGACAATCTCACTCTGAACTGGGTTATTTTAGTTCACACTGCCATATAATCCAGTTAAATGTGGATTTTATACAGCTGTGTGGAGGGGGCCTTAGATCCCCTGATCACAGGCTGTGGGAGAAAATTTCAGGGCTGGAGAACCTTTGTATGCAATATTTTAACAAAGTACCATTATCTGAAAATTCCTTCCCAGTAGAATGTGGCTGGTATTGATTGCTAACTGAAAACTTAAATAAAGTTCACTGGTAAGGAAGCCTTTCCATGAATCCCCATGGAGGAAGAAGGAAATTAAAGTGCAAAAAGCATGGTAGTTAAGAAATCATTCCCTCCCCCTAATCCCATGTGTCCCCATTAGGCCATTTAGTTCAATGCTGGCAGTGACACAAACAGCTGACAGAAAACACAAAGCAGAAATAAATGCTGGTGTGCAACCAAATTTCATCTGAAACCACAGATTCAACAATTATTATTATTATTAAACTTTATTTGTACCCCGCTAGCATCTC